TCGCTGATGGATTGGACAGCGGCGATGAGAAAAACTATTTAAGTCAAAATGACTTTTGATACTGCTTCACATGCTCTTCATGCTGCTCAAGACTACGCTTTATCTCATGGGAGGTCTGTAGAGTACGAGTTTTCCGCGCGTGTCTATACTCAGTAGTACTGCTGAGTCCTGAGTCAGTACTGCGACCTATGGATCATAACATGGTTTCATGCAATACCAGTGTCTGGTGGGCCACAAGAATACACCGCTACAGGTCCGGATCACCTAGCCCAGCTCGTACTTGAGCAGGAAATGGATGGGTTTTCAGCTAGCGATCTGCAGGCCTATTTCACGACGTGGCTGTCTTTGTAATATATCCCCCTGAGTCAGAATAATTAGCGCGAGTTAACCTGACTTTCTCCCTGAGTCCGAATAACTCGCGCGAGTTAATCTGACTTTCTCCCCGAGTCCGAATAACTCGCGCGAGTTAATCTGACTTTCTTCCTGAGTCAGAATAACTCGCGCGAGTTAATGTGACTTTTTCCCCGATTCCACCCAGCGGTCCGAGAGATAGAAGATAGAGCTGCTGAAAAAGTGGAAAAATTATCCAGAATGGACTGCAGCAGACGCTTTCACGAGAGCTAAGCGTCAAGGAGCCTACCCTGCGGGGATGAAAACAACAGTATTGCGATAAACTAGACTGGGGGTTCTGTGATTACCGGTATCGTCTCCCAATTGGGATTGGCTCCCACCGACCAACAAGGGATTTGCTGAATGCAAAGTTGCGACAGTAAGTGAGTCGGTACGAAAGCTGTGTTCACCATCTTCGTCTGTGATCATTTTACACTTTCTGTCACAACTTTCATGTATCCACTCACCTGGTGTCATTTTCCCGTCTGCTGGATCATCTTTGCTGTCAAAAGCAGGCTTGGTATCGCGTAAGCTCTCCCGGCACGTGGACGCAACTTGCGGACTCACGATCCCAACTGGTTTCCTAGTCTGGTTGCATGCTGGGGAGAGTCACTCCGTCGTCGAAGTTGTGAGCTCGACAGCGACGTCTTCTTCGTCAAGAGAGTTCATTCTCCGTTTCGCCATGCTTGGCTCACGCTCAGACCGATCACGCCCAACCGTGGCAAGTTTCAAGAGCGGCCTCAAGCGCCTCACCGTGGAGCGTTCGTGGCACGACTCATGGGGAACGACAAAGGAAATGTCCTTCGTCGACTCCGAGACCGACCAAGACCCTGCTTCAAGCCAGTCGCGGGTGCGTCTTGGTAACTCGCAACTACTGCAGCTGGCCCGTGCGGCAACCGACAAGGTAGACTTCCGTCGTCTGACAAACCGCCAGGCATCGCTGCGCAACTGGAAGTGGAAGACCGTGGCCAACGGCTTCACGGCGTTCTCGCATGGCGACGGGATCGAGGCGGCGCTAGAGGTGTTGGCTACGGGCGAGATGAAGGCAAGTCTGAACGAACTATCTCACATTCTCAGAACCAACACCGCCAGCGACCACGACATGGTGATGCGAAGCCTGTACAAGGATTACATCCACGGCGCCGTCGTGCACGTCGTGGACCCGTCGATTGGGTCTTCTTCTGCCTCCGTCATGAAGTCGGACGTGGAGTCAAAGCTGACAGTCAAGACCAGTGCTTTCGAGCGTTCGCGCATGTTCAAGAACCACGAGCAATGGTGCTTCCTCGAGTACTACGAGAAAACGGGCAGTGCCGATGCTTTCACGGTGACGCTGGCTTCTGTGCCCGAGAAGGAGTTGCTGGCCGGTAAGATGAAAGCTGATCGTGTGGACGACTTGCCCGACTTGGCTGCCGCGTACCTAATTGAAAAGATCCCGTCGAGTAACGCTGTACGCGTGGTCTTCTTCGCACAGGCCTCTCTCACCGAAGAAGAGCCCCACTTCGATCAGTCGAGCATGAGCCACAGTAGTGACAGCACCCGTGGCCACCAACTTGCCCGTTCCAAGAAGCGTCAGAAGCGTTTGATGCGTCTTGCTGCCGGTGCGAGCCAACTTCCTGAAGTGGTCCGTCGTCGTCGCTTCGGCACTCAACCGCTGGCGGATTGCAACGCCTTTGAAGCCAACAACTCGCGATGCACATGCTGCGCCAAGTCTCTGCGTTTTCTCACGCGCAAGAAGCGTTGCCACATTTGCGGATACATGATCTGCCACCAGTGCTGGAGTATCCACTCGATGGAGACGCGCGACGGTCGTGTGTCATCGGTGCGTGCTTGTCCGCGCTGCGTTGAGTTTGTGAACAACGGAGACTATTCTCGCGTGGATCAAGAGAACCGTGGACGAATTCAGATCATCTCCGATTCGGGTCTGCCCTCGTCTGACCCTCCTGGAAAGGCCTTGACCAATTTCCTGCACGAAGCACTTCAGACCTCGTCTGGCAGCAAGCGCAAGTCGGTGATGTCAGTGATTCGCCACTTGATGAACCAGGAGAAGGAGGACGCTGATGTTCGTTCGGAATGCTCCTCCGTAACGTCTTCTGTACGTCTCACAGACGACGATGCAAAAAAATACACCGACGCGCTGGACAAAAGGAATGCTGCGCGTCGAGACACTTCCAGTGGGAGGACTGTGTCCTTGCGAACTCCAGGGGCCGTAACTACCCCGCTCCAATACGGGCGCCCCGATCTGGAAACTATGAGCAAGCCCCCCGATGCCAAAGGACGAGGAAGGAGCGTATCAACCGCGATCTCGGAAGGGTGGGATTCTCTAAAGATTACCGGATACCGACGAGCTAAGACTTGAATCTGTGAGGATGGTTGGCGCGCGAAAATGAAGTGCTCCTACTTGGGCCTCCGTGGACCGCTCATCAGCCGAGGGACGAAGCAGCACGTTGTTGGCCATTCAAATTGTAGCCCGCCCATTTCCCGGCAAAATTCAAATGGCCGCGTGGACCAGGCCTTTCTGGCCGGCACAGCGGATCATGGAATGGAAGAACCTGCTGGGCTGGGTGCC